TATAGCGTGTTTGTACTTAAGGAGAGGAAGGTATTGTCCAAGGTACAGTCCAAGAGTTAGGAGTTTAGAAGGCTCCTAAAAGCAAAGGATATTGGGAGAGAGTTCATGAGAAAGATAGTCGGCATTGTGGTTGAAAGGTTGCTCTTCAGTGATGGGAATTGTACAGTGGGGCAGTTTCCAGATGAGATGGAGTGAGTGGAAGATTGGGGCTGGGGGATTTTGCACAGTAGGTGATTTGGGGGAGGCAAGAGCATAAAGACATTTGAAAGTCAGAATGAGAAAAGGCATGATAATTTGATTACACTGTCTAGAAGGCAATATAGGCAGAATCAATCAAGATATTTGAAAGGGATATATAGCTACACATACACAAACATACATACATAAATACAAGTTAGCCTTGTATGTCAACTTATAACTCCACTGAAATTAAACTCAATATCTTCTGTTGTGAGTTCTGAGCTACACATGAAGTAGCTCGTGTATGTGCCAAATCTGAGAATTGAGTCTTTTCTACAGAAATCTTGTTTAACTAAATAATCCTCGCAGTTGAAATAGGCTATTCACATCAGGAGGATGGCTTAAAGTGCTTCAAAAGATTTGCTACAAAGTTTTGTGACTGGCAGCCGATATACGCGGCAGCCAATTTGAGTACAGCAATGTCCCACAAAAAGTCATGAATTGAATGAACCACAACAAATAACATTTGTATAGCGCCTTTCACGTAGGGGGTATGTCCCAAGGTGCTGGACAGTCAGGGATTTCGACCCAAGCAGGGGGTTGGTATCGGGTGTAGAGAGCAGAGTGGGTAGGAGGGTGGAGAAGGGTCTTGATACGTCCCTTGAAGGAGGCAAGGGAGGAAGTGAGGTCAAGGGACTGGGATGGAGTTCCAGGGGGTGAGACCAGTAAGGCTGAAGATTTGACTGCCGATAGTGGAGCAGGCAAGAACCTGCTGAGCGGAGGGAGCTGACAGGTTGATATGGGGTTAGCAGGTCACAGAGGTAGGAAGGGGCAAGGCCGTGGAGGGCCTTGAAGGCAAGGACAAGGATTTTGTACTTTCTCCTCTGGGGGATGGGGAACCGGGGGAGGGTGGGGGTGATGGGGTCATAGAGCCTGGTGCGGGAGAGGACACAAGCTGCAGAGTTCTGGATGATCTATAGCTTATGGAGGGAAGCTTTAGGAAGGCTGACAAGCAGAGAGTTGGCCTAGTTGACACTAGATGTGATAAATGCATGGGTGAGGGTTTTGGCAGCCTGACGGGAGAGGCAGTGGTGGAGCTGGGCGGTGTTGCAGAGGTGGGGGATGACCAACTTTATTTCGGGAACTGTGGCCAGGAAATCAGGAAAAAATTACCTTCACTTTTCGAATAGTGTCATTGGATCTTTAACCCCATCTGAATAGGTAGTTGGGACTACGGTTTAACGTCTCATCCGAAGGACGTTAACCCCAATAATGCATTGAAATGTCAGACTAGACTTTATGTTAATAACTTTTCTCACAAAGCAGAGACTAGCTATCAATCCCCCAAGATGTGTTGCTGCTTTATAACACACTCCAGACTATGTTCTGCTATACAACAACAACAAGATTCCATTTATAGAGCGCCTTTCACGTCAGGAGGACGTCCCAAGGCGCTGCACAGTTGGGTCATGACCCGAGCAGGGGGGAAATGGTCAGGGTGAGGGGAGGGAAGGGAGGGAGCGAGGAGGGGGGAAATGGTCAGGGTGAGGGGAGGGAAGGGAGGGAGAGAGGAGGGGGGAAATGGTCAGGGTGAGGGGAGGGAAGGGAGGGAGGGAGCGAGGAGGAGGAAGAGAGTCGAGAGGGGAGCTGAAGGCACGGTCAAAGAGAAAGGTTTTGAGACCGGCCTTGAAGGAGGAAAGGGAGGAAGCAAGGCGAAGGCACTGGGGGATGGAGTTCCAGAGCCTGGGGGCTGAGAGGCTGAAGGCCCGACCACCGATAGTAGGGCGGTTGGGGCGGGGGACGTGGAGCAGACCGGAGCCAGAGGAACGGAGGGTACGGGCAGGTAGGTAGGGGGATAGTAGGTTGGAGAGGTAGGAGGGAGCAAGGCCGTGAATGGCCTTGTAGGTGAGGATGAGGATCTTGAAATCAATCCTCTGGGGGATGGGGAGCCAGTGGAGGCGAGCGAGGGTGGGAGTGATGTGATCGCGAAGCCTGGTGCGGGACAGTACACGAGCTGCAGAGTTCTGAATGACCTGCAGCTTGTGGAGGGAGGTGGCGGGAAGGCCGGCGAGGAGAGAGTTCCCATAGTCCAGCCTTGAGGTGACAAAGGCGTGAACCAGGGTTTCAGCGGCGTGAGGGGTGAGGTAGTGCCGTAATCTGGCGATATTCCGGAGGTGATGGAAGGCGGTGCCAGTTGTGGTGCGGATGTGAGGGAGAAAGGACAGCTCAGGGTCGAACAAAACGCCGAGGTTCCTGACTGGCTTTGAGAGGTGGAGAGTGCAGCCTTGGATGCTGATGGTGTCAGCGCCTGAGGTGCGGAGGCGCTGACGTGAGCCAATCAGGAGGGCCTCGGTTTTTCGCACGTTGAGCTGAAGAAAGTTGTCTCTCGTCCAGGACTCGATGTCGGACAGGCAGGCTGTCAGGACATCGGTGGTCGTGGAGTTGAGAGTAGAGGAGGAAAGGTAGAGTTGGGTGTCATCCGCATACATGTGGAAGTTAACCCCATGTTTGCGGATGATGTCACCAAGGGGGAGCATATAGAGGGTGAAGAGGAGGGGACCGAGGACAGAGCCCTGAGGGACACCACATGAGACAGTACGGGGGGTGGAGGAGAAGCCATTCGTTGAGACGAAGTGAAGACGGTGGGAAAGGTAAGAGCTAAACCATTCAAGGACAGTGCCTTGAAGGTTGAGGTGGGAGGACAAGCGGTGGAGTAGGATAGCGTGGTCGACCGTATCGAATGCTGCCGATAGGTCGAGGAGGACGAGGAGACAGAGGGAGCCCTGGTCACAGATGGTCAGGATATCATTGGTGACCTTGACCAGGGCAGTTTCTGTGCTATGAGCAGCACGGAAACCTGACTGAAGGGGTTCGAAAAGAGAATGGGTGGAGAGGAAAGAGCGCAGTTGGGAGGCGACAACTCTTTCCAAGACCTTGGAGAGAAAGGGGAGGTTGGAGATGGGCCGGTAGCTTGATAGCTGCGACGCATCAAGGGAGGGTTTTTTCAGGGTGGGCGTGATGATGGCAGTTTTTAATGGAATGGGGACAGAGCCAGAGGAGAGGGACAGGTTTATGATGTCAGTGATGTGTGGGGCAAGAAAATGGAGCTGGGAGATGTGGAGTGGGGATGGGGTCAAGGGAGCAGGTGGTTGGTTTTAGGGATAGGATGAGTTCAGTGACAGAGGGTGGGGAAACGGGTACGAAGGTGTGTAGGGGAGGATGGGTAGGAGTCGGAGTGTGGGAGGGAAGGGGTGGGTGGTGGGTGGAAGTTGGAGGGGAAGTGACCGCGGAGCGGATTCCCTTGATCTTGGATTCAAGGAAATCCAGCATCTCCTCGCAGTGAAGGTTGGAGGAGATGACCTGCGCGGGGTGGCGGGGGGGACGGAGGAGTCGGGATGTGGTGGAAAACAGTAGCCTGGGGTTGTTCTTCGCCTCCAGGATTATCCTATATACTGTAATATATACACTTCTAACAAAACCAAAGCTTTGTTAATAACAAAACGATCAGGAAGTTGTTTCTGGAATGTCCCTGAGTGATAAGTCGCCAGAGTATTTTTATTTATAGGAATATTCCTTCCTAAATGCCCTCCAAATTCTTAATATTTACTGTAGTAATAAAGGTTGGCCAAAATCGTATGTGCAAAACTTAATGTAGTTTTAAGACTAAAGGTTGTACTTTAGATATCTTATTGGGTTCCACCAAAGTCCAGGTGTTGGGAGGTACGTCATCTTTACTGTCACACTTCTCATATTCAGTCCTGTTCCAGCAATACTTCTACTAACTGCTGGTAATTTATATGCTTTGTCAAATCAGTTTTAAAAACATGTGGTCAGCTGGCTGTCAACTAATTTAGCAGTAAGCCACTCACTAAGTGATCAGCATTTAAATTATCTGTTTAAATAACAACCTGTTTAATGAATGGAACTGCTGTTAATTTGAGCTACAGTTTACTTTTCGCTGCTGTTTCACAGTTTAATGCACATTACACACCAGCTCCAATTGTGTTGTTAACTGGCTGTTTTACAATGTTACTTGCACTTGGCAGATTGTGGCATTCTATATGTTTACTTTGCTTTCTACAACACACTAACTTGTATTACAGACTCTCTCCACAATAAACCTACAAGTGTTTGCCTCGCTCTTGAGTGTTAATATTGTTTTTATATACTGGCTGTTTTCCTCAGCTTCCTGCTTTTAACCTCAGTTTCTGGACACACTTGTTCCCGACACTGAGGGGGGACGGTGAGATTCCTCGCTTTAATGAAAAATAAAACAATGAAGAAAGCCAGGCAGCAGTGGTTTGACTTGGGTTACAAAACATTTATCAGTTAGCAGATTGATTTGATCTGTGAGAAATAACTCCTGGTAAATTCCTGGGAAAATGTGGTTCTGCTTCTGTGTTTCCTTACTCTTCACTCTTCCATCTTGTACCTGTTGTCCAAAGCATCATCAGTGCTAGTTTTCAGTCACAATGTCCCCCTCTCTGAAGCTTTTTCCCCAAATCCTTTTGCCAAGCACCTTCTGTCTCTGCATTCAAATACCCTCATTCGCCTATGAAATACATGGTCAATGCAGTTTGCAGTAAATCCTGTGAAAGACTTTAAGATGCACTCCTGATGTGAATGGTGCTATATCAAATGTAAGGATTATTATTACTTTTTGAAAATTCCCTGATCATTAGCCATTAGCATTAATTCCCCCCTCGCCCTGGGCTTGGTGACCCATATTGTCTTGTAAGTCCAAGTTGCTGTTATTATTGCAGAAGTTTTCTCTTTTTCTGTGAGGCAGTTTTTTGAGTTGCTTATGTTTTTTGTGGCAGGTGGCATCCTTAACCGGACCAGGAGGACGGGTGGAAATTGAGCAAAACTTTCTCAACAACAAGCTGAAGACAATCACTGCTTATTTTGGTGACTTGATCCGGAATGAATAAAGCGAATGTTGTAGATTAGCCATTGTGTGATGAACCAACATAATAAAACCTTTTTACTTTTGAGAGGCATGCTGTTCATTTCTATCAGAGCTGTTGTTCATTATTGTTTGCCTCGTGGCTTACTGCTAAATTAAACTTGGAAAGCACACACAACATGATGCATTAATTGAAAAGGAAACATTCTTTTACTTTCCCAGGTTATGTTTGAGAAGCTCATGACATAATTCACTTCAACTTGTATTTTATTTTACTCAAACTATATTTCAACCCCCTTCAGTCTTGGCTTAGGGTTCTATTGATAAAGGGTGACCTCTGGTATTGCATCGAAATAAATGACTTCTTAATGTGTGATACTTGACAGTGAGTTATTAGATGATGTTAGATTGCTGTCTTCACCTAACACATATACACATACCACAAACACACACATACAGGGTTAGGGTGTGGATTATTAGATAAACTTCCTAGTCTGCACAACTCAGCCACACAAAATGCTTCAGAGAAAACAACATTAATATAGTTGTGGCAGGTGTTAACCAAATAGACAAAAACAGACTGAGAAAAAAAAATCCTATGATTCCAGTTTGCATTGGGGAACCTTGTAAGAAGCAACGAAAGTGGAATGAGTTTACTGAAGTTATTTATTTATAATAATCCCTGCATTTCATATAGCGCCTTATCACGGCATCAAAACATCCCAAAGTACTATGGATTTTCAACAGAATGTAGTGACTGTGTACGTTATAGACTTTATTAGACTACATACTGTAATACCGGCTTTTCACATATACGACATTGTGTTTACCTACAAATACACGGTCACTGCACTATACAGGAAAATCCTGTGAAACACTTTGATGTTTTGAAAATATGATAAGGTTCTATATCAAATGTGAGGATTATTATTATGCACAACCATGGCTTATCTGTTGTCTCAGTTTATCAACTCTTTAATAAACCTGCTGAGATGCACTTTGACATTCTATTCAATTTACAACAACAACTTGCACTTATATGGTGCCTGTCACACAGGGTTCTGTCTCAGAGCGCTTAACAGTGGTGGAGCCTGACTGAGCTGGGGGGAGGGGGAGGTGGCCGTGAGCACGGTCGAAGAGGAAAGTCTTCAGGCAGGACTTGAAAGAGGGGAGAGATGGGGCAAGGCAGAGGGATTGAGGGAGAAGGTTCCAGAGTTTTGGGGTGTAGTGGCTGAAAGCGTGACCTCCGATGGTGGAGCGGAGGGTGCGAGGGTCGAGCAGGAGGCCAGTGCCAGTCAAGCGGAGGCACCAGGTGGTGGATTGGGGAGTGAGGAGGTTGGAGAGATAGGGAGGTGCCAGAGAGTGAAAGGATTTGAACACACATGAGGATCTTGAAGTCGATCCGTTTGGTGATGGGGAGCCAGTGGAGCCTGGCCAGAGCTGGTGAGATGTGGTCCTGGTCGGTATGCGGGCTGCTGAGTTTTGAATGAGCTGGATCTTTTGAATGGTGGAGCTGAGGAGAACCACGAGGAGTGTATTGGAATAATCCAAGTGGGAGGTGACAAACGCATGCACTTTATTCAAAGCCTGTAATGTTGAAGAGTTTTATTAAAGAATTGCATTTATATCACTTAACTCCTAAATCAAACACTTATGCAAGGGTTAATATTATTGTTTTATTGAATGTACAGAAACATTACAAACTTTCTGTATTTATAGTTGAATGTAATGGGGTGTTTTTGAACATGCTCCATTATGTAGAGAATCTGGAAGTCAACTGGAATATAACATGGAAAAGGCACATTTTTAACCCTAAGAATCAGAAGGGTGAATCAATAGATTATTATGAGATCGGATTTAAGAAATAAAGTGGTCAGATGCTACCTGATTAATTTGATATTGTAACACCTAAGTGATCAAGTTAAGATTTCTGCATGAAAGCCACTATTACTGATAACTTTAGTATAATTCCATTGAAAGAGACAGAAACTTGTGCCAAAAGAAGCAAAATTTTCTGGACCACAACTTGCCAATGTGTTAAATTAATATTAGATTGCTGTACATGTGGAAAGCAAAATCGCTGTGAAGAAGTTTGCCATTCCAAAGTCAAGCTGCAGTTCATGAGAAAGTCACATGAAGTACCTTGGGGTAACATTTGAATTCTTCAAATTCCTCAAAGCACAAGGAAATTAAATTGAATAAAAGCAAGATTGGTTTGAAATGGCTGACCAGAGCTCATCAGGATTTTATCTAAAATGTGGAGATTGGGGCAGCATGCAATCTGTCAACAGAAGTTGTCTGCAAGCAGATTAGCAAGCGACCTAATGTGAGGATCAAAACCTAAATGAATTGCATGTAGAAGTCATAAAGTAAGTATTTTCAACTTTAATAGGAAATTTAGCCAGTGTCCCTTACGTGATAGATGGAGAAATCTGCCTGAAATTGAAGCTGCTGAAAAATTATTTAAAGCACAAAACATAATATGTATCCCACATTACAATAAGATTCCCTACATTTAATGTAGCACCTTTCATGATGGGAGAATGTCTCAAAGCGCTTCACAGGTAAGAAAAGAATAATGACTGTATTTTCTAGTGAACGTGGCAGGTAATTTGCAAACAGGAATGTCCCACTGATATAGCGCTTTATTATGTCTTTGAGACATCTCAAAGTGCTTCACAGAATATACTGTAAAGTAAATTGACTGTATCTTTTGTGGCCAAAACAAAATTATGCTAAGCACAGAGTTTTTTAAGCTTTGGTGAAAACCCATCGAGAAAAATGTCTATTCCACAAAAAAAACTAATAACCGACAGCAGAGAGAAATACATTCATGAGCAATGCCTGTGTTTTGAAGTAGCCCATTAATACAGTCTCAGGTGTCTCTTGATCTACTATTAGCAGACGGTAAACAGTCCCTATCCCTATTGGGTGCAGGTGTCCTGGTCTCCCCATTAACAGTGAATGAAGGAGTCTATAAAGTTACCCCGCCTGGAGGTGGAACAAATTAACATTGGCACATGACTAGCTGTTTGAAGGGAAACAAAGAAGGTAGGACCCATACATCCTTCTTAACAAGCCATAACCAAATCTGTTGCTTTCAATACATGGGACCACTTGATAAAGTGGCTCTTGTTGGCTAATGAGATGTCATGGTCATGATTATAATTTAAAAAATGTATAATAATAATTCTTGCATTTGATATAATCCCTGTTATTTTGGTTAATAGTAAACAAATCAGTTTGGCTCAGTTGGTAATACTCTCACCTCTGGGCTAGACGATTGTTCAACCCCTACATTGAGTACTTGAGCTCATAGTCTAGACTGATACTCATGTAGCACTGCATTTTTGGAGGTGCTTGAAATAGATGTTTAAAGATTTCATGATACTATTTAAAGAGAGAGACAGTTTCTGGCATTGTCCTGGCAATCAATCCACAAGCTAAATTGTTCATTCACTTTATGACTGATTGTGGGACATTGCTGTATGCAAATTGCTTGCTTTTATCTTAATTTTCTGCCTCTTGTTCATAGACAAATGCAGCAGATAAAATTACTCATTCACTTCATGGCTCTTTGTCGGATACTGTAGTGCACAAATGATTGTTATGTACGCCTATAAAATACTGCAGTAACTCCTGTGAGATCTTTTGAGACTGTTTGTCACCCTCTTGTATTTTAATAATACAACTATAAAAATACAAGAATAATTACAAAAAAATTAAAATATTTAAAAAATAACAAGATAAATCTATTTCAGATAAATCTATTTCAATGATTCAATGCACATAATTCTATTTCAAAACACAGGCACTGCTAATGAATGTATCTCTCTCTGCCAAAGGCTATTAGCTTTCCTTGTGTATGTTTTCACCAAATATTGTTTGAAAAACACTAACTTACACAACACTGTTTAAAAAAAAAGTATTTAAAATGTAATATAACTCAAGGCAACTTGTGGCAATCTACAAGTCTTGAGGACGTATCTCTCTTTCAGCTCATGATTTGGCTTGTTTTCTTTGCACAGATATGCAAACAAGTTTCTTTTCAACAGCTGCTACTGCATGTGTGTGCAGCAGAGATACAAGTTATTTTTTCCCCCAAATGAATAGTCATACAAAGCAGCTATTGACTGCCTCTTAGTGAAACTACTTGCCTCTTGGTGATGATTTTGTTTTCCGTTCTAGTGATGAGTAATAAGCCTGAGCATAGCCTTGTCAATTATAAAATATTTGTCCTCTGCCGAAGTTCTACTGCAGCCGTGGTAGTAGAAATGGACCAAACTTATTAGAAAGGAATTTTATTATTCATAATATAAAGTCATTCTTACATCAAAGTTTTAATGGTATTTTAAGCAAGGTATTGAGATAGCACCAAAGAACTAGTGCCCTATTGCATCTTCTTTTGGCAATTTATTGAATTAGCTATATTATTGTCACTTCTATGTAGTACACTTCCAGTTTATGGAACTTCCGTTTTGTGACACAGCCTATTGGCTTCCTTTGGTGTTCTCGATTCACATTGAAGAGTATGAGGAGCAAGTAGGAGAGTGGAATTAGACTAGTTCTTTTGTGTTGAAAACTTGATGGGCCAAATAGCCTGTTTCTGTGTTGTAATGTTCAATGTGTAAAAATAATAATAAAAATGCATCACTAAACCTCTGGTGCATTAATGTGGCAAGATGGTGGCAGCCTATACACATATCAATTGTTTCATAGAGAATCACTACCTTTCCTAGTTGCCTTCTATACCAATCTTGCTCCAAAGGATCTGACCAGTTATCTTCACCAGTGTTTTAGTGGGAGCTTTTCTAGCTACTCGCGTAACCTGTTACTATAGTAACTTGTCCCTTGTTGCTATGGTAAATGCAATGAAACCTGTTATACTGACAGCACTATTTTTAGGGCTTGAACTAGCTTGCATTTAATACTGACATACAGTAGTTTTCCTGAGAGTTAATTGCTTCCTAGCTACAGACACTCCTTGAAATAGTGAATGAATGCAGAAAAATTAATTTCAATGAATCAGTGCAGATAAATATATTTATATGCATTAATTTACATTGCACTATACTGTTTAAAAAAAAC